GTCCCCTTGTGTGTTATGTAGCTTTTTCTGCATGTAAACGGTCTGCAGAGTCACAAACCTTTAAAGTACACCCTGTAGCGAGTACAACTCTAACACAGAACAGACCTGTCTGTCAGAACGCCTCGTTGGACATTTTTCTTTTTCAATTTTTTTCTTCCGGGTCATAGTGACGTAACGGTCATAGTGACGTAACACCGACCAAATGGACCAATCCGCGGAGCTCCGCACGTGTATGTGTACACACACACACACACACACACACACACACACACACACACACACACACACACACACACACACACACACACACACACACACACACACACACACACACACACACACACACACACACACACACACACACACACACACACACACACACACACACACACACACACACACACACACACACACACACACACACACACACACACACACACACACACACACACACACACACACACACACACACACACACACACACAGAGAGCTCCCTCAGGCTGTGAGTGTGTGTGCTCAGGCTGAGCTCCGCGGTGTCTCGCTGTCTCGCAGATCCCACACAGCAACCAGGACACGACACCAGTAATCCAGCTCACACTGTCCGCTCCTCGAGCCTCAAAGGGCAGAGCAGTGAGCCCCGCAACGTCTCGCCAACACGGCACCCAGACCCCACGCAGCATTCTCATCTGTTTGTCATTACTGGTGTCATTTTCTGGTTGCTAACAAACGCCATTGTAACACATAATCACTGATGTTCCGCTGTAACGGTAGTGGGCGAGCTGACCAATCAGAGCACAGTGGGCCCACAGGGAGGCGGGGGGGGACAGGAGCTCCAACAAGCCGTGTAGGACAGAGAGTGAATACACATACTACAGTATACAGAGATACAGAGATGCTGTATGAGAAACCAATGTGAGTTTGGAACATTGAACAATATAAATCTATTTTAGTAGACCTCAACGATGGAATTATGATCAGTAGAAATGGCCATGACATGGGACCTTTAATGACAGCACATGTTAACTCCTTGCTACATTTTTCATTCATATGGAAATGAAATAGTTAATATTACTTAGTCTTATTTTCATTTATTATAACCATTTTATTTTTAAATTATTGATTTTCCAGGCTGCCAGGGGGCAAATGATTTACAGACTTACTGAATTGTTTGTGGAGTAAATGTGGTGTCACACATAACAGTGATTAAACACAGCCTTGGACTTGCCAGATCACTGATCAGATTGGTCTAAATTGTACAACCTTCTCATATACTACACCCTATGTGTGTATTGGATTGCTTGTTTTTTTTGTTTCCTTTCACTCTAAAGTGTTGCATAATGAAGGTCGCAGGACAAGACGTGTCCGTGTAACAAAAGATAAGCTCTTAATACAACACTGCTTCAAGACTGCCTTTCACCCCTGCATACACTTTGCATGTGGTTGAAGTCACGCCAGATCCTCCACTCTGCTGTGCACATCAAAAGAACATGATGAAAGACGTGGTGAGGACTTTGAGGAGACGCAGGAGACAACCAAGGTCACAGCACATGGCATCACTCCGGCCTGTTAAACATGGACGGCCCCCTTTCACTCACCACTTTGTGTAAATGTACTGACACCAACGCAGTGAGATGAGAGAGACACAGATAATGGAGCGCTGCAGAGACGCAGTGAATCTTACTAATCTTTCTCACTGTGAAATCTTTCCACATGACCCAATAGAAATGCATCTTAAACACACCTTCAGATTAGCTGGAATTGGCCTCATTTGATAGATAAAAACTCCACCTTCTGCCAGCACAACCCCCCCCCTACAGACACCGAACCCCAACCTTTTCCTTTTTCAATTCATAAGTCCCACAAGGCTTATAAACCTTCCCTCTAAGCTGTGCGATCTCTCCAATCCACCTCTTTTGGATTTAACAGATATGCATGTTTTCCCAACCTTCTCAGCCTGAGAGTTGAGTCTTTCAGGCTGATCTAGCCATCTCTGCTTCCTCTGAGCTGAGGAGCCAGCTTCTCTCACTTAATATGTGCTCTTATCCTCAATCCTTTGGCTCATTCTAATAAATCCATCCTCTTTCTAAAAACAGTGAAGGAAACTCCCGTATGTGAGGGATTCTCTGGAAGGCACCTGAGATTCAATTCACATGTTCCATCAGGAGAACCCCATAAAAACACAGAATGTTCTTCATCTGCTGCACAGACCTCCATTACCTGAACAACCCATTAGACACTGAACAGAGAGAAAGCATCTCATTGACTGAGATGGACTCAAGTGAATCAAATGATTCTCATCACTTGACAAAATGTTGTTAAAGGGGCCCTATTCTACTTTTTCAGGTGTTCCCTTTCCAGTAGTGTGTTCTATACCAGTGGTTCTCAAATGGGGGTACGCGGACCCCTAGGGGTACGTTGGAGTACTGCAGGGGGTACGTGAGATTTATTTTATGTTAATGAAAAAAAAACGTAATTAATGCATTTAAACAAACTAATAATAGTAGATTAACTACTTTCTTCAAAGGTTTACAGTCATTCTGGATAGTAAAATGGGGGAAATAAACGGGGTGCTCTCTTTTCCTCTCCCTCTCCTGACAGCCCGTCAGTCTCGTGCAGCTCGCTGAACCTGTAATAAGTGACCCGACAGTAAAGAATAAATATATGTATAACTAGTTTAGCTAGTTCCAGAGTAGATGAAATAGCTAAGGTCTAACTCTTAGTGTATTTTGCTCCACTCAACGGTCCGTCACAGCGGCGGAGCTGTGATCATGCAGAGCTGTGTGTTCTCCGTCAGCAGCAGCTGATCTGATCTCTGATCCCTCTCTCGCGTCCGGTTAGACTTCACTCGCGTTTATGTCCAAATCTATCAGATCTAGCTAGTTCTAGTTAATGATATGACTGCCTGCTTATCAAAGGACCTAAACAATAAGCGTTGCTTGGCAACGCCGTGTGGCCGCAAAGTATAGAATTATGCATATGTTTATATGAGGGGTCAAAATCCCATGCTCATAAAATGCTCATATATTTGTTTCTCTTCATTCCCCACGCCCCTAATAAATAAATATACTAATTTTAGGGAAAGTAAGGAAGTTTGAGCAGTGTGGGTTTTATATGAACAGAGTTACACATATTTAAAAACACGAAGTGTAATAACTGCAGTTAGCCTCCCTGTCAGAATGACAAAGATCCTCAGTGAAGCACAAGCCCATGGTTCTCACTACATTGTAAGTCCAATTTATTACAAAGATCAGTTCAATGCAACTAATGTTGTATTAGTGTTATTGCATGATGTTAAAATAGAATTTAGTGATGGATTGTAAACATTTGAAATGTAGCATTTAAGTGTTTCTCAGTTACAAGGTTGTTGTTTTAATAAATCAGACACTGATGGTGCAGCACTGTACTGTACCTCTTTATACAGGCATTTTTTCCTTAACAATTTTGTTTGCGCTGATCAGGGGCTGAATTTTTTTTTCAAAGGGGGTACATTATTGAAAAAGGTTTGAGAACCACTGTTCTATACTATCCTTTGTTTACTTTCGTAACATAGTGACATCACTATGTAACACTCACGCTTCTATTGGCCAGTGCTCCAACAAATTGTAAGTGAAGACGCTAAGAGGCAGACCAATCACAACAGAGCCGGCCAGCTAACCAATCAGAGCAGACTGGGCTCTGGTTTCAGACAGAGGGTGAAAAGAGGTGCTGCAGCACAGGCAGTATGAGAAACATAAAGAGCTTTTAGAACGTTAAAGCATGGAGACATGTAGAGACACTAAATACTGATATGAACCTGAAAATGAGCTCTTTTAGCAAATGGTTAAAAAAATTCTATTTTATGTAGGATTGTTTGTTATATAATAAAGCAATTAAGTCAACAGTTGAAATATTTAATATAAATTAATATATTTTTTAAAGACTAATATATCCTGGAGTTGCCGACTGTTCACATAAATGGAATGAAATAAAAATGTCCTGAATATTTTAAGTCTTTATCTCTACCTGAGCCAAAAATAAGCCCATTTTAGGAGAATTATAATCTTACAGTAAGCGCCATCTAGTAAAGTGATAACATTAGTAGATTCTGTAAATCAGCTCCGCTGCTAAACCTTTAGAAGGAGTGCATGTTGGAAATAAAAACATTTTCAACCTTTGATGGCAAAGAAATAAAACAAATCGAGAACTAGCTTGTCGAACCTGTGCTCAATTCCCTGTCCAATCCTTTGTCTAAGCTTTTATTTAAATGTTACCATTTACCGGTACCAGATACCATTTCTATTTGAGCTATTACTACTGTAGGTGTTAACAGAAGGCCTGCTTTGGACATGGAACCTTGAGTAATCTATCAATGGATAAATATGTAATTTTAAATAGCTTAGAACATGATTAGAGGAGTTTTTCCTTACCCGAATAGAGGGTTTAAGGACATAAGATGTCGTATGCTGTGCAAATTGTAGGCAAATATGTGATTTGTGATATTGGGCTGTATAAATAAAACTGACTGGACTTTCACTAATGAAGCCAGAACAGAAACAGCAGAGTTTATAGCAGGCCCTTTAATCATTTGTTCTTTTTTCTTTTGAAAGCAACTGTAAATCCATAGCTCGGCAGTTGCTAACAATTAAATTAGATCTGTTTGAATTACACTTTTCACTAACAGTTGGCAGAATTGTGACGGATCCATTTTGGAGAATATATGGTGGAATGGCTCCAATAAATGTCACAATCCAATCCACTTGGGGGTGCTAGAGAACATAAAAGAGTAGCACGGGGAACCTGGAGAAGAGACCATTTTAGTTGGAGGCATGATAGAACTCGCAGTGTGTGTGTGTGTGTATGTGTGTGTGTGTGTATGTGTATGTGTATGTGTATGTGTGTGTGTGTGTGTGTGTGTGTGTATGCGTGTGTGTGTGTGTGTGTGTGTGTGTGTGTGTGTGTGTGTGTGTGTGTGTGTGTGTGTGTGTGTGTGTGTGTGTGTGTGTGTGTGTGTGAGTGTGTACCTGTGTTCGTAGGATCTCTCCTTTGGTTAGCTGCATGTCCCCGGTGAGTTCTTTAACTGTGATGCCCAGTGGCTCCAATCGCTTACCGAAGTAATTAGTCATCTCAGCTGCCAAGGCCTTCATCGGAGCCACGTACACTATCTACAGAGAGAGAGGGAGAGGGGGGGGGCACAGAGGTAAATATGATGGGAACCGAAAGCGGGAGAGTGGGAAAGGTAAGGGATGGGGGGTGGGATGGAAGGACACTCTGGTGATAAATGAGCAAACAGAGGCGGGATAATTTGTTCCCTGGCAACCAGCACAAATCACAATTTATTGAGAAATATGATGCCAGCCACTTGCATGGGTAAAGTTTAATGGTGATGTATGAAAAGTGGCTATCGTCACAGACTGGAACTGTGTGTGAGCATGTGTGTGTGTGTGTGTGTGTGTGTGTGTGTGTGTGTGTGTGTGTGTGTGTGTGTGTGTGTGTGTGTGTGTGTGTGTGTGTGTGTGTGTGTGTGTGTGTGTGTGTGTGTGTGTGTGTGTGTGTGTGTGTGAACAAAGCCTTCTGGATGTCTGACTTATTTATCCGAGTGTGTGTTTTGACACAATGTGTTTGAGAAGACACCCAATATTTAACGACGAGCTGCCAATAGATGACTATTTGTGCTTTTATTGAAGTTTCTGTTTTTCCATTTCAGGCTGTATTTAATTTCCAATGCTCACATCTTTGATTTTTCAAAAGTATTCATAATACACTTCTGAATAAACATAAGATTCCATAAGTGATTCCATGTCAGCCACAGCTTGTTACAAAAAACATGACTGATAGTGTGTTTAACAAACTTAAACTAGCTTTATTAAATGTCAGGTCTTTGGCAGGAAAAACATTTTTAATCAATGATTTTATCACTGAGCACAATCTCGATTTTATGTTTTTAACAGAAACTTGGATTGAACAAAATAACAGTGCAGCTGTTCTTATCGAATCAACCCCTCCCAACTTTAGTTTTATGAGTCAGGAAAGAATGCATAAGAAAGGGGGTGGAGTTGCTATTCTGTTCAATGATTCCCTTCAATGCAGGAAGACATCTTATGGAAACTTTGATTCTTTTGAATATGTGGCCCTTCGGCTGAAATGCTCCTCTCGAGCTCTGTTCCTAAATATCTATAGACCACCCAAATACTGTGCAAGCTTTTTTGATGACTTTACTGAACTGCTGTCTATAGTGTGTATTGACTTTGACCGTCTAGTCATTGTTGGTGATTTGAACATCCATGTTGACAACCCCCAGGACAGAGGGGCTAAAGAACTGTTTTGTGTTCTTGATAGCTATGGACTGACTCAGCATGTGACGGAGCCCACGCACAATAAGGGGCACACTCTGGACTTAATTATCTCAAAGGGTCTGAATATCTCTAAGGTTGTGGTGACTGATGTTGCACTCTCTGACCATTCCTGTGTTTTCTTTGAGAGCTCTATTTCTGTTCACAAAAATGTTCAAAAAGAGGTAACCACAAAGCGATATTTAACTGAAAATACTAGGGAAATGTTTACTCAGAATTTCTCTTCCACACTTGCCCCTGCCAACATCTCAGTAAATGAGCTAGTAGATCATTTTAATTCAAAAATTCAAAATGTTATAGATGCCATTGCTCCAACTAAGGTAAAGGAAGTGTCTGGCAAGAAAATATCTCCATGGAGAAAGGCCATGACCGTGAAAACAGAAAAAAGAGAATGTCGAAAAGCTGAACGCAGGTGGCGAAAAACAAATCTCCAGGTTCACTTTGAAATCTATAAAGAGAGACTTGGCCTTTATAATTTGGAATTGAAAAACGCACGACAATCGTTCTTCTCTGACATCATTACCAAAAACAAAAACAACGCACGTGCCTTGTTTGCTACCGTCGACAGACTAACTAACCCCCCAGTGTCAGTAGCCTCTGAATTTCTATCCACCAGGGCGTGCAATGATTTTGCCTCCTTTTTCACTGACAAAATTCAGAAAATCAGACAAGCAGTCAGTGCCTCTGCATCAGGAACAGCAAATGTGTTGTCCCTATCTCCACTTAACATCAATTCAGACATCATGACACAATTCCATCAGATTAATGATAAAAACCTAGAGGACATTATTCAACTTCTGAAATCCTCCTCTTGCTGCCTTGATATTATTCCAACAGGATTTTTCAAAGATGTTTTGCCTTGCATGGCCTCAGATCTACTTCATATAGTAAACAAATCTCTTCACTCAGGTATTTTTCCACAGGCCCTGAAAACTGCAGTCATTAAACCGCTCTTAAAAAAGAATAATCTAGATGCTTCAGTAATGAACAATTACAGGCCCATATCAAACCTCCCATTTCTAGGTAAAATCATTGAAAAAGTTGTTTTTCAACAGTTGAGTAATTTCTTGCATTTAAATAACTGTTTTGATGTGTTCCAGTCAGGCTTTCGTCCAAACCACAGCACTGAGACTGCTCTTGTAAAGGTCTTTAATGACATCCACTTAAACACAGACAGTGGCAGAACTTCAGTGTTAGTATTATTAGATCTCAGTGCTGCGTTTGACACTGTTGACCACAGCATATTACATAGACCGACTGGAGAACTGGGTGGGACTTTCGGAAACAGTTCTGAATTGGTTTGAATCCTACTTAAAGGACAGAAACAACTTTGTTTCTATAGGTAAATACACATCTGAGTTGACAAATATGACATGTGGGGTTCCTCAAGGCTCCATCTTGGGGCCTCTTCTCTTTAACATCTACATGCTACCACTGGCTCAGATAATGAAGAACAACAAAATAAGTTACCATAGCTATGCAGATGACACACAAATTTACGTAACAATTTCACCAGGAGACTATGCTCCAATTCAAACACTGAGTAAGTGCATTGAACAAATCAATGACTGGATGTGTCAGAACTTTCTCCAATTAAACAAAGATAAAACTGAGGTAATGGTTTTTGGAGCCAAGGCAGAACGTATAAAAGTTAGCGCTGAGCTTCAGTCTGCAATGTTCAAAACAACAGATAAAGCCAGAAATCTAGGTGTAGTCATGGACTCTGACCTGAGTTTCAACAGTCACATTAAAACAGTTACTAAATCAGCCTACTATCACCTAAAGAATATATCTAGGATTAAAAGACTAATGTCACAGCAGGATTTGGAAAAACTTGTCCATGCTTTTATCTTCAGTAGACTCGACTACTGCAATGGTGTCTTCACAGGTCTCACTAAAAAATCTATTAGGAAGCTGCAGCTAATTCAGAACGCTGCTGCTCGAGTCCTCACTAACACTAAGAAAGTGGATCACATCACTCCTGTTCTGAAGTCTTTACACTGGCTTCCTGTGTGTCACAGAATAGATTTCAAAATACTGCTGCTGGTTTATAAAGCACTGAATGGTTTAGGCCCAAAATATATTTCTGACCTCCTGCTAAATTATGAACCATCCAGATCTCTCAGGTCTTCAGGGACTGGTCAGCTTTCTGTCCCCAGAGTCAGAACTAAACATGGTAAAGCAGCGTTCAGTTATTATGCTCCAAATACCTGGAACAAACTCCCAGAAACCTGCAGGTCCGCTGCAACTCTTACTACTTTTAAATCCAGGCTGAAGACTTTTCTTTTTGTCGCTGCTTTTAATTGAACTATTCATATCTTAGACTGCACTGTAACTTTTATCCATGTACTTTTTTCTTTTAATGTTTAATTGCACTGTAACTTTTATCCATGTATTTTTTCTTTTAATGTTTATTTTATTAGCTTTTCTTTTTAATGACTGATTTTAAATGCCATTTTCTTAATCTCTTTCATTTTTTGTAAAGCACTTTGAATTGCCTTGTGTTGAAAAGTGCTATATAAATAAACTTGCCTTGCCTTGCCTTGCCTAAGAAAAGCTGTCTATCTCATTATCAGGTAAGAAAGAGACAAACTGTCCCCAGTTTCTGGCGGAGGAAGCCAGGAGGGTAGTAAATACATGTAATATAAACTGTACAGTATACCCCAGCGCGTGCACTACTCTCTGCATCAGCCAAACGACTCGCTGCACCCTCGCTGCGAGGGGGACCCAAGTTCCCATCAGCAAAAACACGTGGGTTTGCTATCCTGGCTCCAAAATGGTGGAATGAGCTCCCCATTGATATCAGGACGGCAGATAGCTTACACACCTTCCGGCGCAGACTGAAAACTCATCTCTTTCGACTCCACTTCGAGCGTTAGAACTATTAACGAAGCACTTTTATACTAATAAAGGACTGGCTTACCTAAAGCCAGTTGAGTAGCACTTGAAATGTTTGGCTCTATGAAACCTGATGTACTTATATGATTCTGTTTTCTTCAAGGTTGTGTCTTCCTGGTCGAATGTACTTATTGTAAGTCGCTTTGGATAAAAGCGTCAGCTAAATGTAATGTAATGTAATGTAATGTAATAGATGAGGCTTTCTAAATCAAGGTTTTTTTTTGTACCTCTTTTTTCCAATGATACATTTTTGTAGTGTTTTGTAAAACATCTCAAGAGAGAGGAGTGGAAGCATCAATGTACTGTAGTAGAAACCCAGCAGGCTCGGGTATAATTAAAACTCCAACGGTAGCACTTGTATGGTGCACCTTCACAATGTCAACGATATAGATGCACAATAACAGTTTTTTTATTTAAATGTACGTAGCGCTGAGTTGTCATGTCATTTAGTCAGAGCTGTATCAGTAGGGTCTGCTATCTGTATTTTAAGTTGATTCATTTAAGCGTTTGCTGTTCTTATTTTGCCAAAGATAAAAAAATCTTACTACACACAGGTACAGGTTCACTGATGATGATTCATCCTGTAGCATCGACGACTACGTCAACGCACGAGCCCGCATCTGGAGAAGGCTGCTTGTTTCTCCTGTATCCATCACATGTAATCTAGACAGCCAGCCACAGCGTGTGTAGGTTAGGGCTGTCCCGAATACCATTTTTCGGGCTCCGGATATTTGGAGTAATCAGCAGCGAATATTCGGCCCAACACGTGTATTTCGGTTTATTCATGGCATTCATTTTGTTATTCTACAGTATTGTTGTTTTATAGTTATTTGTTAATGTATATAACCCAATTTGTGTTCTTTGAAATTGAAAAGGATATTGCATTGTGTTTGTTACTTTCGTTGCAGTTGTAT